TCTCTTTCTTCTTCTTCTTATCATTATTATTATTACATTGGTAATTGGTATTGGGTACAGTCTGCACATATTAGTATTTGAGATAACTGGTTTTTAATTCCGATTTTATCTAGCTTTTGCGATCAACATATTTTCTTCTCTTTTCTTGTTTCTTACGTGTCCCTAAGAAACACGCTAATTATTCTCTAGAGAACAGTCCTTGTGTATAAAAGGATATATGACTAAACATCTTACATAAGATTTTCGTTGGAACACAAAACTCCTGAACTTTCGCCGCTTAAGAAATCAATTGTTCCCGTGTTCTATCAACTTAATTATTGTCGGTCAAATAAAACTTGATATCTATTGATATTATCTTATCTTATTAATTTTTTACAAAGCTTTTCATCCTTTCAAGCAACAACCCATGTAAGCATGCATGCTGCATGCATGTTGATAGCCCATCTGCTGCACTCCAACCCCTCTTCATTTTGGCGAAAAAAGTAAACGACGATTTTCCCATACTAAACAATGGTAAATAATCCGTTCTGACGTTCAAAGGCTCTATTCCCATAGATTTTAGATCGATCTATCCCCGCGGGGAGTCTCACTAGATTACTTTCAGATAATCCGACTTAAATGTCCGTCCCGCCTACTACCAGCTGTAAGGGGGTAATTAACTTTCGTGTCCGCCCAGCTATTTAGCGTGAACCCCCAGGGAGTTAGGTCGATCTTATCTATGGAAATGGGGTGAAAGTTAGTAGATTTTTAAAGCGTGTTTTCGTAGTAATGGGTAGCCTTCTAAGAAGCAGAGCAAGACCGAAAAAGAGATCGGAGATAAAAAAATTCACAGATTCGACCGGGCTAAAGTAGAGCAGCATCCTCAGAAAAACAGACAACAGATGGGAGTGGAAAGAGCTGGCCGCAAAATCTTCAAGTGGCTCCCCACGGTCGATCAGACTACGGGACGGGATATGATAAGCTAGCCATCTATGAAGGTGCACGTAGTCCGATGGCAAGCACAGATTTCAGAATAATTGCGATAACCGCCGTTTTTCGGTGGTAAAAAAGGAATTTATTATATTATAAGTTCTGCTTACAATGTATTAATTGTGCAATTATGAATCCCATATGAAGAATTGTTCTTCCTTTGACGTAATAAGTGTTTACGTTATCCTATATCTTCTTTTTTTATTTTCGTAAATGTTTTTGACTATTTGACGGAAATCAATATTATTAGGTCAAGCATCACCGCACTAGCAACAAGGTTACAACAGTACCATTGAGAAAAGGTTAAATAGTTAATGCACCAAAGCCGCAATATGATCTTTTCTTTTGCTCTTGGGACAATCTAAATCGATTAAGAGTCTCTAGAACTAATTTGTACAGAATATAAAGGTTAAAAAGGTTTTAGACGGGGAACATATAGAAATGAAAAGAAAGGGAATAAAGTAAGCTGATCAATTGTAGTTTTTATTTCTTCGCTTACTAGCTCAGACTGCTTAGTTTCACGGTTAGCGCAGGAAACACAATGATGTTACGAACGCTGTGCCATATTTGTAAGGAAAGGTTATTAACTACATTATAAAAAATGTGAACTACATAATCATACCGCTATACTTCATATAGGGACTCTGAAATACTATAGTAACAAGTATACAACATACTGGTACATATTGTGCGCTGTTTTTATTTTTATTTATTTATTTATTATTATTGTGTGAGTGTGTGTGTGTGTATGTGTTGATTGTATTGAACAAATCGGTTAATAGTTTCTCGGATCGTAACATGTACGTGACTAGCTCCACTCTGTATTTATTGATACACTGTAGTTGTGCATTTAATAAGGGAAAGAGATAGAGTACCTGTGTATTTAAGTCATTCTTTAACAGACTAAGTTTAGTTCACGCCAGATGTAACTCACATCTGTAAAAGGCCTGAATTCAGCCGCCTGGCAAGCAAACAATTATCAAATGTACCTTGTGCCATGGAAAGACCTAGGATCTTAGCGCGATAAAACTGGCACGCAGACAAGACTGGCCGATGATTATACATGTCGTCTTACAACATAAAGTTTATCTATATTAGTTTTTTTTAATGATTTGTGCAATGACATAAAACTGGTGCTGTATATTTGACGACTAATGCCAGTGGGACATCGAGATTTCTTAGCACTGCTACCATTCTTTAAAAAAGGGAAAATGTTTTTACAGTGTGTATTATCAAAATATTTTACAGAATGTCTGGGTCTATTAGACTGATTTGTGTGTGTGCATGCGTGTGTGTTTACATATAGTAAAGACTGATGTCAGGACCGAATTATCATTTGCCTGATTTCACGGAAATACTTACAGTAACTTACATTATTGTGCTTATTTTCTGCTATTTATATTCTTCACAATTTCTATGCAGTTTTGTTAGCTTGCGACCATTACGGTCGATGGCCTACCTCGAACATCCTTTCTATTCAGTCGTTAATTGGTGCATGGAATGAACTTGTATCATCTGCTACTCTTTATAGAAGTTAACCAACGCAAAGGTGTTTCATATGCTACAGTCGGTACAGATCGAGTTTCTGTTGTGTTGGACTCCCGGTCGAACCCACCTAGACTGAAAACGAATTGATTGTTTTTCATTACGAAGTAAACGATCGATTGATCTGTCACGTGTGAAAACACCGGGTAGGAAATGCGGCTGAGTGTTTTATTTGCACCAGGTAATCTTAATGGACTCCTTGCTACTGTGACAGTATGACAGTATTTTCGTCCCATCGATGTGTACATGAATACGCAGGCGTCCGTCTAACGTCAACGCACAGTAGCTCTGACGCGCCCAAGCTTTGGTATTGATTGTTTAAATCTAAAGATAACCGTTCTGCATTGGTAATGTGGACTATAGCGACAAGCAACGACCACACAGACTTCCTCTGCTGTTTTCTTTTACAGCCCGAAAGTGACGTTTGACGTCAAGCACATTGAACTTTTCTATGGTTTTGATGAGCTGAAAACATTGTCTACAAGATCGTCTCTCTCTCTCTCTCTCTCTCATTCCGTACAGTGGTAGGCTGGGCTAGAGAGAACGGAATATTTCCTTCCTTTTCGAACTGTTGTTTAAATCTCCATCAACAACAACAACAACAATCACAAAACCAGTACTCATTTATTGAAATGATTTATTTCCAATATTTTTAGATGATGCGAAAATGTCATCAATAGATAAGATTGTAGGAAAATTTTACCTTTATCTATCTTCTTTTGCCTTAAAACCCCTCCACGGATCTTTCATTTCAGACACTAAAAGGTTTGTAAAGTTGCAGTAAAAAGGGGACCATTTAATTTGCCACTAACGCAGCGTACCGTGTGGTTACGTTTTATGTATACGGAAAGAGAGTCTAACAGCGTGATCTTTGCAACTTACAAAGATGGCAGGTAGGAGAAAAGAACTGGATCGACGCTTTATGGTTATAAAGCGCACGATCTCTTAAGGTTAAGCTGCAAAATATGACAGTAACAATTTTAAAGTGGGGTGTCCAAAGGGTTGAATTGTACGGCTATTGCGGCTGCGACATGATTTAAAAAGGGTAACAAAAATATTTCCCCCTCTTGCACTGCTTTGCGTATACATCCTGAGGAATTGGGAAAAAATTAAACCAAAGCCTATACTTTCCTAGGCTCTGTTGGAAAATATGCGTAATAAAAATAATCTGAAGTAAAATTGTAGAAATGGTATTTTGATATAAAAAAACTATTGCCTAAACTGTACTTGTGTTAAAAAGACTTCTCCAGCGGTGATTTGTTGTTTCAAGTTTTGTTATTCTAATTGAGCACATCTGTTAAATCCTCTCCGTGAAACCCAATGAGTGAAATGCAAAACTCCTCGCAATAAATACTTTGATAAGTGATACCTTTGTAAACACCCAATATGACAGTGCAAAGTTGAGTTCAAACACAAAATTTTTAGATCTTGGAATGGCCTAAAACCCGTCATTTGACGTCATCTGACGAACATGACAGTTATCGCTTGCCAAGCACTGGGTAGATACATGCACATGGTACATGTAAAACTATACATGTCATACTCACTGGTCATCAGTTTTATTATATCGAATTCCTAATTGCTCACAAGAAGCAAACAATCTTTTCAAACTATTTCTAAACAGTTTAATAACTCAGCAGTTAATAAGTTCATTAACGAATGAATGAATAAATATGGAATCGTGTCAGCTTTCAATTAGTAAAGAGCTAAGTTCTATCAAGTCCTGACTGAACGCATTCATTGGTTTCGCGAGTGTCTTGTATATATTCAAGCCTTGGTTAAAATATTATCGTGTGAACGAAGCCACTGAAATCGGCCTGATGCGACCCAAACAGCTGTGTGATAATCATTAAATGCTCACTATACTGGTATCTCAGCATTAAATAAATCATGTATCCGAACCTTCAGTAAACCTAAATACACAACACCTGTCTTGTGCACTGTATTCCTAGCAATCAGAAGAAGTCGATCACATCTTTTGTCCAAACAGGATTCCGCTTGTATTCCGTTTCCCTGAGACTGGACTAGTTCCAGTCAAGTTAGGTTGAACTCGAAATGTCCCATGCAGTATTAACTCCCGTCGGCTGGTTGTATGCTTTGAGTTAGATCACCATGGAAAGTAAATTAATATTTCTGCTGCGCCGTTCAACGCTCTGTATTGGTCCCATGTCGTTGGGCTGACTGTCTGAGGTGAGCTACTGGTAGTTGTATTACCCGCTTAGTAAGGCCGGGCCATCTTGACTGGAAAGACAACGTTCGAGACAGCAGCTGTATGCATTACAAGTTATACTTTACACATGTGATAGTGAACATTTTGTGTTTTTCCTTGTAAGTTTTGTGCTATTCGGAAATTCTAAAGAGAACGAACTTACCAATATTGATAGGAGCTTAATTTTAGGGAAACTGCCTGCGACTACACCCTACATACATGAGAACTGTCAATTTGACAAATTGTCACGTGACAGCGATCTTTGATAAGCGTTAAAACGAACCACAATTTACCATTGACATACAAGCTGTCGATAATCACGGAAGGAAAGAAGAATCGTTAACAATCAAGAAAAACCAGCATATAGCACCTGGTTTGCTTTGCAGCAAATTAATTGCACAGAACAGACAAGCGGGTGAAATCTGGAGTAAAGGATACGCCGAGAGATAAGTTGGTTGTAGCAGACAAGATGGCTGGGCTAGCGCGGGTGGCATCCAGAGCGAATTCTGTTCGTCATCCACCTAAAATTAGCATGGTTAGACGCGTCAGTGAGGCATTTCTTGGACCAAGGGCACCCGGATACCAGCGTCAGGTATTGATAGCATAGGTCTTATCAAAAATGCACACGCTGAAACCGTCATAAGCATTTGAGTTAAATGAATAGGTTTGATACACGTAACATGGTTTCACTTTCTTTTTATACATTCAAGCCTGTTTCGGTTAAGGACTAATTACGATAGATAAAGAACTAATTTTAAGCACTTAAGTATTACCATTTGGTTTCGACAGGACGGATAAAAAGATTTGGGCTCAAAAATAATTGGTTAATTAATTGATTGATTAACGGTGGAATAAATGAACACATATAACACCATGTTCAATTTTCAAGTAGTAAGCGACATTAGCTGTATCAAGTTCTTTACTGAAAGCTAACCATAAAATAAAGAAGTATGAAAGCACTTACTGAACTTAAGTTGTGTCATACCAGGTATTTTTTTAATTTCCGCTTTTCTTGGGGCAAAGGTTAGTGATTTCAAAAATAAAAAAGGCAATGTGACATAAGCACGGTATATTTTTATAGAAAATTAAAGGATCCAAACCGACACTTTCCCGCCAAATTCAATTTGCCCCAAGAATGGTGTATTTCTCCTACTCACAAATCATTGCTCAACCCATTCCTGCACTTGGACTCGATGTTTGAAACCTTTCTGATCAAATGATATAGTTCCTAATGTCTAACCAGTCACTGAGACCTTTATGTCTTCCTGCACTTTATAAGAAAATATCGACGTCAGGTGCTCTTATTTTTTATCGCTTTTAAGGTCTGAATTGGGAAATGTGAGTAGCTTTTCAGTATTTATATATAGACAAAGTAACTATGACTTGGGGCCTTTTCGAACGCGAACAGTATATTTTAAAGGAACAAATGTAATTGGAATGGTCCTTGAGACTTGATCTATTGATTGATGAGCAAATTGGTTGGGAGGACGGATAATTGAACAAATGAACAAGCAACTTAAAGAATGGATGAATGAATGGATGCACAAATAAATGAACCAACGAAGCAGGGGATGAATGAAGGAAAGAAGGGACACATACTATGGCTGAAAGAACCGTACGACCAATGAGAGCGGGGAAGGGCACATGAACATGTACTAGTGGGTGTTGAACAGACGGTCAGACGGCCAGAAAATACCTCAAAGCAATTGTCTACAAATGTTAAAAAAAGTACTTTTTGTGCGTTATTTGCTAGATATAAATATGAAACACAAATATCAAGCACATGCATCGAAAAACTGTTACTTGTCACCTTAAGCCGTGTCATTTATATGCACAGCAGTGTAACGTTTAATTACATATGCGCATGTTTAGCCTTGGGTTTCTCATTGCTGGCTTGTATTTCTGCATTTAAAGGTTATGGGTCCTAATGGGAAGACTTGCAATACAGGCTAAACATAACGCTGAAAAGTTGTAATTTCTGAAATATTGTCGGTATTTCGGAGAAGGAACATTTGGACGGTTGAAAACCGTCAATGAAAACTGCTTGATTATTTGCTTTTTTACTGTAGATATTTTAGCCTGATGCATTTCAACTGAACGTGAATGTCGCGCAATTGGTCGCTCTCGTGGAGAGGCATCAAATGTAAACCACCGACTAATTAAATAAATCTATACAGGATTTCATTTTACTTTTAGATTTTCGCACTGTTTAAATTTTAAATATAGAAATGTGTGACCAGTTCCAGTTATCTTGTGTAAAACACACCGCATGCAAATCAAGAAAATGAGTAATTCAGCACAAAATCATTTAAGATTTATGCCGCATGAACTGGTGTTGGTGCCGTGCACAGAACATAGACATGGTAATGTACATAGGGATAAAGTAGAATCCTTTTGATTACATAGTTCCGTTGTTGGATTGACCATTATTTTGAAAATAGTAAAAAAAGTATCAAGTAATATCCTCTGAATGATAGATAATACATGTGTATATGCTGCATCACTACTAGCTGCTGTCGCATGCACGTTTCCCTGTCAAAAAGTGTATTTTGGTGCAAATGAATGTAAAAAAAAGCCTCCTTTATCTGCAGACAATTCATAGGAGCCCGATATCGATGCTGGTAACATAATCTCTGAACAGCGCCACCCGTATCAGCGCACAGCTTATTGCCTGGAACACATCAGTAACACCTCAATGACACGTACAGTATAGCTTTACACCGTGGGACCTGCACATACACTGAGGTTCATAATTTGAGCAACACCTTGAATTTTTCAAAACATTCTTTTATCACGGTTATTTTGGGGGATTTCGTTTGTATTTTAGCTGTACGATTTCATGTATATTTTATAAACCTTGTATTAAAGTTGGGATTTCTATTAGAAAAAACATCACATAAATATATTTTAATATTGGAATGACTATATTAACTTAGTGTCTAATAGCAAATGGCTTAAAGGAGTGCTCCTACAGAAAAAAAGGTACCTCCCGGTTAAACAGCTTATCATAAAAAAAATCAAACGAATCTTATTAAAAATGTACCCAGAAAATAAACAGCAGATCAATTATAAATGGCTTGCCTTCCCCGGCTTTGAACTGCAGCTTCACATCGCCTGCAGATTGTCATTAGATTCTGCATGCATAACGCTTGTATTGGGGGTTAGAGCTGTCTGACGGTTTGCACTGGGTGCTGGATCTTGTTCACTGCTCTACTAACCAAACAAAATCACACAAACGATAACCTGTGTATATATAACTTTGCTATTCTTATGTTTTTATTGTTGATGACATTTATGTATTACTTCATACATTCAGTGAGCTAGATGATCAATTCATCATATCAGAAACACATTTCGAAAGAAAATATAAAACAGGTAGAAATTGAATTACTAAAAATAAATCTAATGAAATCAGTTTGATCATTTCCGCATAACCAACAAGGATTATATGAGCAAAGCACTCAATCCAGTCACGCACTTCAATAAAATTCAACGTAAATTGGTTATTTCAGACACAATCTAGTTGAAGCAATTGGCTGTTATTTCTTCTTTCGTGTATTCAATGTTATCAAGAACTGATATTAGCCGATGCATGTGGGCCCTTTCCAGATAATATGACACAACAAAGCGTAATAATTGCTTCCACGTTATGGTAAAGGTCAAGCAGACCACCATAGACAAATCAGAGTGTACCAGAAAGAGTTTCCATGAATCAATATTCCCAAACGACAAAATTGCTGAGGCTAAAAAATAATTTTCGCCCGCGCAGACACAGAAAGTCGGGTCAAGTGTGGGGCATGATAAGAAAAATACATTTTGCTGTGTTGGTAAGAGTAGGTATCGATTATCTATGAAAGATCGACACGGTCGCTTCACGTTCATTATGCAATTGGCACCAGGGAAAAACAGCCTCCAGTGCGAACCTCACTGTTTCCATTGTGATATTGTTTCTCCTATCCAGGCAGTGGCATATTGCATTCTCACTCTCCGTCTAGGGCCTCGATCTCATTCATTTAAAGGGCAATGCATGTTGTAATAACTTCTGCCAAATTGAGATCGATCGTTTATTTTTAGAGATTGAAATAAACATGATTTTATCACTAGGCCTATAGTGCTCCTAGTGTGAACAATCTACCTTAAAGGTATATTCATATACTATATATTCTTTTTTAAGACTTTTGTTTCTAGTTAAATGCATTCTTGTTTAAATTGAAACTAGTCTCATTTTGACTTCGTTTTGAAGCAGGCTACATGCTTTGCCATGGCGGTTTTAATATGTTAAAACACAAAATGCGTAAACAGATTATCTACTGTTGAAATTTTGTCAGCACCACAAAATTTCGCACAATTCAGACAGATCATCAAAAATGAAAGTTGTCTGCCTTGCACACAGACTGACCTTTGTCGACAGAGACGACACAGACTCGTAGCCAGTCAAACAGTTTTATATCCAATGCCGAGCAATCGTCTTCCATTTAACCCCTATATCCCATTTCATGCGCTGTCGTAATTTATTACATTATTTTGTTTTTGAAACCTATTTTAAGTGACGTAGATGGCAGGCGAAGTCACCAAGGACCATCTCTGGCCAGAGTTCCACTATGGACCTAATACCCGTGGACAGTTCAGAAGTATTCGTGCTACCGGGACAGTTCAACTCACGTTCAAAATCGACGGAGCTTATACATGTACAACTGCATATGCATAATAAACATTACGCAACTGTTTCCTATGGCAATAATTATGAAAAACCGTGATAACATTTGTACAAACTGCTGTTGTCGTCTTTATACCCAGCATTTATTGATTTTATCTGATGTTTCACTGCTTTAAAGACATTTAATTCCGCATCTTATGGATGATAATATTGACACGGCTCTTACCCTTTCTGTATTGAGCTAAGAAAATCCGCTTAAAAAGAATATACCTGCGATAAAGGCGTTCCATGAAGTCTTAGCAAACAATTTTAAGGACTTCTTTTGTTAACGTTTGTCGCGAAAGAAGAAAATGACAAGTTGCTGTATTGAAGACAATACAATTACATATTTTCAAAGTTAATTCGTTCTTTCCGCAGACAGACGACCTTGGCAGCCAGAAGTTAAGGGCTGCAGCGGGGACCAGTGCTGGTTACGGCTCAGTGACGTCACAGTTCATAGAAGCACGTGAAGATTCAGCCACTTATTTGGAATTCATAAGTAGAACAGGAGATATTGTTTGTAATTCAGGTAAGCGTTCCTGAAATCATCTTGAATCTGAATAATTGTAGGTTGTCTCATGCAACATTTTAATACTAAATTTTTAATATTAATTCTGATCACAAATTAAAAATATGGTATAAGTTAAATGATGGTATTTTTGTCGGTATTTATGTTTACCGGGTGAGGTCTGTTTTGACACTTGTAGTACCCAAGGATTATTCTCCGCAAAACTTATCTCAGCTACAGCATTTCACCATTTATGAACCGTTGGGATTTAAAGCTTTTCGAGAGCGTTAAATGTACATGTACGTGTAAAAAATCGCGCATTAAAAATGATTATTCTTTTTTAAAGAGTCACTTCTTTTGCTTATTCGCATTTTGCATCACTTCGGCTATCAATATGTCGATAACACATTTGATTGTGTTTAGTTTACCCACGTGTCAAGACCACTTCTATCTGAATATGAATTAAACAACATAAAACTTACCGCATTCAAAATTGAACGTGTACAGTGCATCTGCGAGCCAAAACGAATGAAACAGGTTCATAATTGAGATTACGTGCATAAAGTTATGTAATTTCGACCCGTAGCTACTGGATTGAAGCTTATTACGACGTGCACAGCTCAAGTTAAGCGGCTTTAATGGCACGCGCCCTAGAGAAAATCTTTCAAAGAGAATTCAATGAAATCAAAACAATCCTGGAAGAAAGGCATAAAAGCTGTCTACAACTGAATCTTCACATCGACAATATGCACTATAATTCTATACACAGAGGGAGTTTTCGGGACAGCTTTCGGGGCAGTTTTCGAAGACCTAGTCACCCTCCTCGTGAAGAGATCACAGGCGCTGAAACCTTGAGTCGAACGGAACGCCTTAAAAGGGCGTTGCAAGACCCAGGTGTAAAAATCAGAATTGGCGACTGCATCCTCGACTTTATATCTGCGCTAGACACTTGCTGCTTTGACCTTTTCTATTCTCACACTTCTTCCACAGTTGCAGTGACAGTTGTGTGTGGACTGTGCATGGGCTTACCCCTGGCCATGATATGTATAGGTAAGTACAATCTACGAGAGAGGACGGTTGTGCAATGAAATGCTCTTTAAACACTTTTCTAAAACTTCTTTGCGCATTTGATAAACGTAATTTACCGTTTGTCAATAGATTTACTCTGCATGTGGTAGTATCTGGTCCTTGATAAAGAACTAAAAATGAAATACGGTGTTTTACTGTTAAATTGTTTCAAATAACTTCTGACGACAAAATGTCTTGAAAGAGATTTCCCTGTAGTTACCTGATTACTCGACTCCATACTACTACTATTAGATATACCAAATACCTGTTCCTAACCTGGGGTTGAAAAATGAAGTGGAGATCCACCTCCTGCAAGGACCACTCTCCAGGAATTATTGATGAGAAGATTGCGTCCCCTGACCGGACGTACATGTGTACCAACAAACAAATAACCCCTAGTCAGCAGAAATAATGGTACCTTTTTTTCAGGCGTTCAATACCTTCAAGAATGTCCAAAACAACCTAAAATCCCCATATACCTACTAGTTGGTGGCTGCTTCGGTGTTCTGAAACTATTAGCTCTGATATGGAAACAACATAAAGCCAGGCGCCTGGAGAGAATGGACCAAATGTACGAGGCCGAAGATGACGAAATGGAGGACCCAGTCATGTCGCGGTCATCTAAATTTACAGAGGGCATATTGACCTTGTTCTTATTCGTTTGGTTCATACTGGGCAATGTGTGGGTATATGGAATATGGAAACCACGGTTTGAACAAGTTATAATGGAACCTGGCAACTGGTGCGACGAGACTGTGTACATGTTTGCATTTGTGCAGATTATCATTGTTTATGCCATGATATTTCTGGCATGCGTCGTTCTCTTGGGTCTCTATATTTGTCATCGGTGTGATCGAAAATGATAATCTATATAACTATATCTGTAATTTAGCAATACCCAATTATTAAACCACAGCCTTCTTTTTCTGGAGCACGTGATCAATGTTAAGGGCATCTTAGAGAACATTCCCACAGATATTTAGATCGCTTTATCTCCCTCGGGACTCATGCTAGATTGCTGTCAGCTTAACCGGCTTAAATGTCTGTCCCGCCTACTAAGCTGTAAGGGGGTAATTAACTTTTGTGCGCGCTCGGCTCCCGGATGCTGACAGTAATTTAGCGTGAACCCCAGGGAGTTAGGTCGATCCAGATGGATCGATCTGAATCTGTGGGAACCCAGTCTTAGGTCTTAAATGGGCCTTCTACTGAGGGAAAGTTATAAGGATCGACTCCAATTACTTTTTGATTCATCAATCATGTAAAAACATGCATTTATGCAAAACCTGAAAGCAGATTGATTTGCAATTTAAAGGAAGGCATAACGTGTTAAACTACTGGTGATGATTAAAAGTATGATTTGTTATCTCTGTCAAGAAGAGACGCCACAGCTAGAGAATTAATTAATTATTACTTCACTATTTATCTTGGCGGAGGCTGCGCTCTCTTTTCTAGTTGTTATTGTAATTATGAACGGAGATGAGGGAGTTAATACCTCTTTAAGGGACCGTTTACAATGTACTTCGTCGACCTAGATAATGAGCACAAACGTTACTGGGACCCTCGCTGAATGCAATCAGATTAACAAGCTAACACGCCCCCCTTGGCGTTGAGTAGAATAAAGAAAATCTGGTGATTATAGGAGTACACTTGGTACATCTGTTTACCTGGTTGCATTCAGCGATACTCCCCATGGAGTTTATGCTCATTAGCTAGGTAGACAAAATTCATTGTGAACAAGCCTCCGAGTTTATATCGGTAAATAAAAATAAGTACAGGAAATGCGGGGAAATTGTTGTGTCGGAATAAAACAGATTTTTGTAATTAATCTACTGGCACGTACATGGCTGATAATTTGCCGTGTTTTAAACATAAGGCCTTTGTTAGTTATGAAACTATAAAACACGTGAACAGGCAGTGTTTTTTTTTAACTCCGAAAGACAAAAGCAATATATGCATCGCCTGTTCTATTCTCAAAACCCAAAAATATTGGACAAATACGTTTTAGTCAGCAACGTTTGATTAATTTCGTTACCCGACTTCAATGACAGTAATAGTCAATGAATCGGCTATCCTTTGAGTTCACCACATGAGAGCCGTTCCCATCATCATCATCAAATTTAAGACCACCTCTTCTGTCGATAACCAAGTAAAAACGAAGCAATTGCGAATCAAAATAAAAAACGACATTTGGCTTCATCAAGACGCGCTTTCTACTGTTAATGGTGATCGAATGACAACGATTAAGAGAATAACACTACTGTGACTATGAAATAATAAATAACCACGAAATATTGTACGTGCCAACACTGCACCCAAATGCAGTTAATACCAAAAAGTTTTTTTAAAGATAAAATGTGTTACGAAAGATATAATTAAAAAATATTTATTATGATTATTTTTTAAAGGCATAGAAATATTACAAGTACATGTATCCATCAAACGTGCACAAATTCGAACACTCTTTGAAGGGACTTAGGCAAAAAATGAAAATGTTCAAAACAACTATAAAATCAGAGAGAGAGAGAAAAAGGGACCACATACAAGAAAGTAGAGCAGAAAACTAAACGTGCAGTAAGTAATGAAGGCAGAAAATGTGTGCCTATCTACCGGAAAGGCTGTCGCGTGATTCTATAAGCAGATCTAACACAGCTAATGAAATAGCAATTATACTTTATTAAACTTATCCGTCTAATGTGTTAACATTCATTAATTGTTTATCTACTAGAGTGTATCCATAGTTTATAGAGACTGAATTTATTAGAAAACGAGAATTCAATGCAACCAACACCAGGACTGCACAAACGTTTTATTTGGTAAATACTGACGTGAAAGGGTAACAGTGACTCATTGTGTTAGATGCGACAGCCTGTCCTTGTGAAATGCTTTTTAAAATTTTGATAACATTCTGGGATGAAAAAGCTTTCTTGTTCTCTTTCTCTCTCTGTCAAATATTTTGAAATCATTCCTATCACCCCATCTAGAGAATACCGTTATTTCGTTACGTTACATACAAATGTATTGTATTATCCTTTCTTGAATGGATGAATGCTGTTAGGCATCCAGGAGAATAAGGATGATAAATATGTATAACTTTGCTACTGGAAGTTACATTTATAACAACTGCCGACATTTAACAACCTGAGACCTTTGGTTTCATCATTTATCATATTAATCATTATCATTATCATTTCTTGTTAATCCAAATGTACGATGGTATGCGCTAGAGTGATGGTAGGAGGTTTTGGGGTAGTTCTCAAATATTAAAATGCAAAAATTAAAATTACATAATACATCACATTTATAATATAGGCCTACATTTTATCAATATGAAAGAACGGATATGTGTTCTGAATATATTAAATTCTCTTCATATCTAAAATGATATACATTTATATATACAGTAGTGTAACATTAATTTTAAATGAAATAAGTACACCTACATGTACATTTATTTACAGTGTAATCACAAACAAATTATGAACAACTGAACGAAACACTACGGTACTGCACACCCGAGGCTTCTTCTTAATATAATCGACACTCAGGTTTGACAACAGTTGAACAACACATGAAACTTTTTATGTCATCGTGATTTAGTGTTTCAAAACAATATCTTTAAAAAATATAAAGGAGGTATGATTATCAAGTCTAACAGATTTAGCATCTTACATTCCTTAAATGGTCACAAGTCTTTGTCGTCTGATTCCATGCAGTCCCCGGCGCACACGGCATTGCCACGTCCTGTATTCTGTTGCCGTCACACACATAGTAGCGGCTGCAGAGCGCTGGGTCTTCATAAAACTCTCCGTTGGCATCGCAAGGAAGACAGGACAGCTTTCCTGCGGGATTCGATGCACTGGTGTTGTGTGAATGCCGACAAAATATAAGATCTATAAGACAGAAAAAATGATTCAGGAAGTTAACAGACTGTATAATATACAATTGAAACAGAATTCAAACCAACACCTATATCAGTTCAAAAAGATGCAAGATAGGATTGAAAATTTAAAGATGTGTTACAATGCTAAAAAACGCACTCATTTCACGACCCAGTTGTAATTATTTCACTTACCGAAGGGTATCCATGGACATATTTTTAACGAGCAGATCCTGAGGGATGTGTCTTTCACAGTTCCCTCACTCTCTCCGCCTAAACTCCTACAACGCGATGCTTCTGTGCCCAGTGCAGCCCGTGCTCTTAGTGACGTCTCTGGACATGAATTAGCAGGTAGTGGAACAAACTGCCTTCCATTATATAGAACAGCCTGACATATATCTACAGTACATAGTACGAGTTGCGCTGAGTTCTCAGTTTCTGGGACACCTCTGAGGGAGCGGCACTCGGCTGACGACGCCCATATGCTGGCTCTACTAAAGTACGTATTGGGCGGACAGCCGTCGATTTCACTAAACACAAAGCGTCTCGTGTCCTTTTTATTAAGATCGTCTTCCTTGCAAAGGTAAAGGACACACTGAGATATGTTTACACCTTGTATATAAAGTCCTCCTAATGATCTGCATTCCCCGGCGGCATCGGCTCCATTTGAATACCGGAGATATATTCGGTTCCGCGGTGTGGCACAACGCCTGTCACCAAACTTCCTGAGCATGTAAGCCTTATCCAGATTGATCTCTGCATCGCCTAGAAAATGTATTCCCAGAAAGATATTTACAGTTTTTAACAAAACAAGAATGAAATGCTTTCTCACTCATTTTCAAATAAAAGACAGTCTTGCCTTTGGACTTGTTGTGAAAGATTTGGCATATACGCAAAAAATTGCTATATATAACCATTTAAATGGATATTTTATACATTTTATGATTATTTATTTCTTAAAACTTCGCTACACACGTCCCAGCGCTGTTACACGTAGAAATATATTATGACAAGTACGTAAAAACAAAGTTAGATTTACTGAGACTTATTTAAAACTGATGAAAAGCAATTAAAACTAAAAGAGAAAATTTTACTGTAAGGTATTGTTGAATAAAATGATTTTATAACTTTTCTTAAAACGATTTTTTTCGGCCAAATGCCTGACTTCTTAATACGATTTCACCATACATGCAAAGCCGGTGCTGCTACTAGTATATCGAAACATATGTTATCATTTAAGTATTTTGCTTCTTTCTTTATTAAAAAAGTGTTAATAAAGAAAATCCAACAAAATGAACTATTTCACTCACTGCCTTCTGAAATTTGGCACCAATCAAACAGGCAATTTATTTTGTTATAGAAAATCACGCCAGCGTCACTTCCTCCCATTACGTCACATGTTCCCGGCACAGTGGCCAATCGCACTTCAGGCATCAAGTTCACGTGATCTGGGGATAGTCCCGCACACGACTCGTTATTCATTGGACGGAAGGTGTATTGCAGAATATTGTCTCTGCTTGCTCTGCAGAGATCAAACCTGGAGTGAACATATGTCTCCATTCATTTGAATTCCCATGCAAATTAAGACAGTTACAAAGCTGAAGTTCAGAAATATATACACAAGCAAACAAATAAACAGACAGAAAAAACATAAGACAAATAATAAACCAGACAGAAGAACTTGCAGGCAGACAAAAACTCATTATGGTCAAAGAAGGGAGGTAGTTCATGAAGCTCATCTGATGCTTACCTGCAGTTGACGTAACTTGTTACGGTATAGGTCGTCGTCCGTACAATGTGCCCAGCCAGCGTGATACAAGTGCCAGCTTGCATGTTAAATATCGCTGAACCAAGTTTTGTTTCAAAAGTGCAAGTTCCCGGAGCGGATGGCAAAACTGCATTTCCGGGAATTCGTATAGTTTCACAGAAGGACATCCAACAAAGGGTCCGTCCGCGAGTTTCTCCGCTCTCCGCTTTTCCTTCTAGAACGCCACCCAGCGCCTGACAAGACGTCGGCTCTTCCAACCATATGGGACCCGTTGATAGGGACAAGTTTCCAGCGCATTTTCCCGGCGGTGTAAACACAATCATTCTGAAAGGTATGTAAGATATATAAGCATTAGGCATATCGGAGCGTTGTTGATATTTAAAGGCCATGCATCGCATACGGAGCAAATTAATAGCCACTCTAGAGCTGCATTTTGCAACCAAACTCATTTTGCAACCAGGTTTTTTATCTAAGTCACTGTTTTTTTTTATAAAAAATAAAGGTGGGGTTAGTACAATGACTTTGAAACTTTGGGATTGATAAACCTTTCATCGGGGAAGTGCAAGGGTCCTTAGAAAATTATAGTGGCCTGGGCTGGACTGGACTGGACTGGTTGTCCCAGAGAGCACGCGCTTTGCAGCCGGTGGCAAAATGCGATTGGTTGTAAAATGTGGCACTACACCACTCTTCCTCCTTATTGTAGCTACTTAATGTACCTGTATGCCTCTCCTGGCCATCTACTATAGTGCACATTTGGAAAAGAAAGAACTATTATCCTTAAACTGTACAAGGGACAAATATGACAGCAAGGGCATTAACCTTCATTGACCTTTATGAAAAGGCGCTTTTTAGACATTTGAAATTCCATCATGAAAACGGTATACCAGCACTCCGTAGCGGAGACGTCAGAAAATTCGTTATCATGGGGTCGTCGTAATGTTGGTACACAAAGCACGCTAGATCATACTGAGACGATTTCCATATTTTTATGTATTCTTGTTCACACACTCGAAAACATCTATAAAGCATCAATAAAGAGCAAAAAAGTATGATGTTCTAAATTTGGCCTGTGACGGTCATATTTATTTTCAACTCACCACGTGACAGTGCTAAAAAAAAAGCACCTAAGACGACGGGATAAGGCGCAATGATAATATAATCTCATGCACATGTCATAAAATCTATGAATTTTTCTTCTTAAAATAAGAACATTTAAAAAGTATGGAAGGTTTGTGTACATTTTGGGATAGTTTAAATCGAAATTGTTCGTAATGTGGACATTCTTTGAGGGTGTGGATTAACGTTTATGGGTTCTTTTTTGCTAGACGCCTACAGGTGGATACGACACCATAGTCGAGTAGCCAGAACGCTAACACTGCAATGTTTTTTCCTGTAAACTTTTTTTGCTGAAATGCATTCTTTAGGTCGAGAGAAGCAAAATTAGCTTGGTTGCTATTTCCGAGACCTTGAGCATTTTTCAATATGGCCGTCAATTTATGAGGAAAAATAGAAAAACGACCAGAAGTCGCCGGGTAAACTTTATTGACAGCTTTTTTGGACGTGTATCCTATCAGGAGAGCACAACAGTACTATTGAATACACTTAAACCCGTTACATATAGCAAAAAAAACCCAAAATGGCCGTCAAATTATATGGCAGAAAGTAAAAAACACTGCAAAATAAGTTCATTTTTTGCAAATTTAGCCTTATTAAAACATATCCGCCTTTTTTATTTATGTCCATTATGATCATTTGTTAGTCTTGATCCTAAACTCTCATAAAGTGCTTATTTGACATTAATCAGATGGTGGCAGACGGTGCCATCTCCTGAGAGTCAATTTGCCACTCCGACGAGCCCCATAGCCAAAGCTTGCTATGTTATATCTTGCAAGCTTTTTTAAAAGAAATTATTTCATCTGGGTTACAAAACTTAGAGAAGCTTATAAGCTTGACTATATTTGCCAGTTGATACGTACGAGATATTGATAATTTTTCAAAATTCAAGATGGCCGTCAATTTGTTATATGAATAGCGAGAGCCATACAGTCAAATAAAAAAATTTAATGCTTCACTCCTTTGTTCATCATTGCATATTTATGTTAACAGTGCGATCATTTATTTCATTTTTTCAAGTTATTTTAATAAAAATGGCCTCCAAAGCATAATGGAAGGGTAAAGAAACAACTGTAAAACTGCAAGGCTTTTAACTGAAATAGACTTTAACTGGAACAAATATAAATACATACATAAAGCAAAAAACGATATACCTGCGTTCAAGACATAGCACACAATAAAACACATTTTAGGTTAAAGGATACGAAAAACGAAAACCAATATGTCCGTCAGTGCTACTCTATGATCAAACCAAACATTGATTGCGGATATCTCAGTCCTGGCAACTAGTTTTTCATTTTAAATCAAATATTACATTGTGGATGATTTAATGAAATGCATTATCATTCTAGTATGTGTAAACTAAATCATTTTGAAAAAAAGAAGGCGTAAAAACGTTTTTCTTCAGGTTGGATTATT